CCGAGACCAACAAGAAAGGTTCAGATCGTCAATGCGATACAGAATACAGAACACTGTTTATATGGGACAAGTGAAGTCCATGCGATTGGTCAAACACATACCGGAGGAAGGCCGGATGCGTGAAATCAGAGTGTGGGGGGATGATAAGTACATGGCTCATAGGCAGTGCGAGAAATCATGTAAACACCTGTAGCGAGGGCACGTGCGGAGATAATTGAGGTAAACGTCGTGTTGATAATGCGAAGATTATTGCTCGTTGCATACGCCGTACAATATTTTCCTTACAGAGCGAATAATTCTTTCTCACACCCCGCCCAAGTGACTCGCAAATAATAGATTGAAATGCCATTGCACACCACGAAGGCATAGCTCTCCGTCAATCCGTTTTTGATCCCATTTTTAACACCGTCACATAATTCCCTAACCGCCCCGACGAAATTCGTTCTGTTGTCACTATATACTTCTGATGGGCATCCCCGTCTGCCGACGAAACGGAGGAATGTTGTAATGAATGCATCAGTCGAGAGGTCGTGGGCTGCTTCCAAGTGCACTGCTCTGGTTTGCAGGCAATTGAATATGCACCCAAAGCGCTTTTCCACAGTCCTTCCTCGCTTTACAACAATAGGGCCAAAGTAATCCACACCCAGGTTCTTGAAAGGAAACCAACCAATATCCGCCCTGGCACAGGGTAATGGTGCCATCTGTTGCTGGCACGGAGTGACGGTGCGCTTCCAGCAGCGGATGCAGCTTCCGACCACTCGCTTCACTGTTTTAGCCCTATGCAGTATCCAGTACTTGGTGCGGATCGCACTTAACACGTGATGCACTCCACCGTGGCCATCTGAGACGTGGAAATGATGCACCAGCGCCTCGACAACTGGGTACCTACCTCATCACGCGATAGTTAATCCCAAGAAACCGGAGAAACTTAGAGTGGTTATGGATTGTGCGGCGAAATTTCGAGGTCTGTCCCTAAATGACCAACTCTGCCAGGGCCCCGACGTCACTGCGAACCTGACCAAAGTACTTACTCGGTTTCGGAAGAATTTATTGGCGTTAGCAGCAGACGTGGAAGAAATGTACATGCAGGTAAAGGTGCCGGAGGACGACCAATGAGCACTGCGGTTTCTATGGTGGCCAAAATGCGTCCTGTCTAGTGATCCTGTCGACTACCAGATGACCGCCCACCCATTCGGGGCTACGTCCTCGCCGTTTTGTGCCACCTATGCCCTTCGCAAGACGGTGAGTGATTTCGGTCATTTATACAACGCTACGGTAACGAATGCAATCACCAATGGTTTCTACGTAGATGACTGCCTGGTATCATTGAGTTCAGTAGAGGAAGCAGCGCAGTTTGCACACGACATATGTGAACTGCTAGCCAGAGGGAGATTCAGGCTGCGGAAATGGATCTTGAATAAGACGAAGGCCCTAGATTTGCTATCCCCTACCGAGTGGGCACGTGCGCCTAAAGAACTCGTTGTTGGCTCGCACTGCAATGATCGTACGCTTGGGCTCGAATGGAACGCTGAGACAGATCAGTTTTGGTTTCGATTCAGCGTTCGCAACTGCCCGGCGACCCGACGGAGCATCCTGTCAACCGTATCATCTATGTTCGATCCCCTCGGATTAGTGTGTCCTTTGCTTCTACCAGCCAAGGTACTTCTAAAGAAACTGTGTAGAAGAGGACTGGGTTGGGATGACTCTCTCCAGCCGTCAGACGAGCAAGAGTGGAAGCAATGGATTAATCACACTTTGTCTATTGGCCAACTCTCGGTTCCTCGTTGTGTGCTGCGGAGCATAGAGACCTCTGAGCAACGCGCACAGCTGCACATTTTCAGCGATGCCTCTGAAATTGGGTATGGTGTGGTCGCATATTTGCGGCACACCTCTGCGTTGGGTCGGCCTTATTGCTCTCTCTTGCTTGCAAAATCTAGAGTTACTCCATTGAAGGCAACAACTATACCCCGGTTAGAACTTGGAGCTGCAGTGTTGGCAGCGAAAGTTAATCAGATACTCGCAGATAGTCTGAGTATGAGTCCACGAGATACACGGTATTGGACCGACTCGCAAATCGTGCTGCACTACATCTATAATAAGTCGACAAGATTCAGTACGTTTGTCGCTAACCGAATTGCCGCCATACAACAGCTGTCTGAACCGACGCAATGGAACCACGTTCGGTCGAAGGATAACGCAGCAGACTTGACCTCGAGGGGAACCCTGAAGTTGAGCGAATGGAGAGCGTGGGTAGGAGGACCGGATTTTCTCCTGCAAACCGACTGCTCCTGGGTAGACGGGTATACCCCAACGGAAAGCATGGCAAACGTGGAATTAAAAAAGCCAAGTAGTTCCATAAATGCTACATCAACAAACCCCGCGAACCCACTGCTGACGTATTTTTCGAGCTGGGCCAAATTACTGAAGGCAGTAGCTTGGCTGGTTCGTTTCAAATGCTGGTTACTATCCCGTCACAATGCGCATCGGGTATTTGCTAGAGGCCCGCTGTTAGTTTCCGAGATAGAAGATGCCAGGAAAGACATCCTGCGCATGGTGCAACGCGAGACGTTCAGCAACGAACTGACAAACCTTAAAGCGTGCAGCAATCAATCGACCCACCTTAATCACGCATGGAAAAAACGAAACCCAATCCGTCGCTTGTACCCAACTCTGATCGAGGGAATTATCTGCGTCGGAGGGCGGTTGAACTACACGGACTACGAGGAGAGTTTGAAGCACCCTGCTATCCTTCCCAGTAGGCACCCAGTTGTCGAGGCGCTGGTGCGTCATTTCCACGTCTCAGAAGGCCACGGTGGAGTGCATCACGTGCTAAGTGCGATCCGCACCAAGTACTGGATACTGCATGGGGCTAAAACAGTGAAGCGAGTGGTCGGAAGCTGCATCCGCTGCTGGAAGCGCACCGCCACTCCGTGCCAGCAACAGATGGCACCATTACCCTGTGCCAGGGCGGAAATTGGTTGGTTTCCTTTCAAGAATGTGGGTGTGGATTACTTTGGCCCTATTGTTGTAAAGCGAGGAAGGACTGTGGAAAAGCGCTTTGGGTGCATATTCAATTGCCTGCAAACCAGGGCAGTGCACTTGGAAGCAGCCCACGACCTCTCGACTGATGCATTCATTACGGCATTCATCCGTTTCGTCGGCAGACGGGGCTGCCCATCAGAAGTATATAGTGACAACGGAACGAATTTCGTCGGGGCGGTTAGGGAATTACGTGATGGTGTTAAAAATGGGATCAAAAACGGATTGACGGAGAGCTATGCCTTCGTGGTGTGCAATGGCATTTCAATCCACCATTTGCAAGTCACAGGGGCGGGGTGTGGGAAAGAATTATCCGCTCTGTAAGGAAAATATTGTACGGCGTATGCAACGAGCAACGCCTTACTGATGACTCCCTAGCCACTGTATTCGTCGAGGTAGAACGGATTCTAAACAATCGCCCGCTAGTTCCACCCACCTCCGATAGCCAAGATGCTCCTCCATTAACCCCGAACAGCCTACTTCTCATACGATGCGAAACCTTGCAGCTACCAGACATCGACATCAGAGACAGGTATACTAAGCGCTGGAAGCAAGTAGCCCACGTAGCCACGGGATTCTGGAAGAGATGGTTAAAAGAATATATAACAACATTACAATCTCGACAGAAGTGGCAGCTTCCGACCAAGTCTGTAGAAAAAGACGAATTAGTGTTGGTGGCTTCCGAGAAACTACCAAGGGGTTGTTGGCCGCTGGGTCGAGTCGTGAGTTGTGAAGCCAGCAATGACGGTTTAGTAAGGACGGTGTACATTAGAACGAACTCAGGTGTATTAAAATGAGATGTCAGAAAGGTGTGCCGCCTGGAGGGCGATGAGTAGCAGCGCTTAAGTCTGGCTTGGAGTGCAGGGTGGTAGTCATGGAAAACGGCTTTCACCCAAGCGCTTCGATGCCCAGAGACGCCCACGAACGGCGCTTGGTGGGAGTCATGGAAAACGGCTCCTGCCAAGACGCTCTCGTGTGGTTGCGTTGCTTTCCCTTCTGTTTTTCTAAGGAGCGCTACTGTAGGCAGTTGTAGGACCGAGAGCCAGAGTGGAGTCGGGGACGTACGAGACGTCAATCGCAGAAGAATTTCGGAGGCAGTGTAACGCGCTTATCTACCCATGAAATTCTTCTACTCTTCGCTTCGTGGTCTAGTCTATAGACCTGGGCCGATCGTTGATGGATATCGACCAGCTTTCATGTGCGCCTCCTTACATTCCCATTGTTAGCGTTGTAGGTGTGTCTGTGTGTGCATGCTAATCACCGGCACTGGTTCCGTGCGTGTGCGTCTACCGACGACCTTGGATCTCCAACCCTACTCTTCGCCGAACAGGACACGTTCAGCCCGGACATGTGTCGCACCCCTCCCCCATTCACTGGTCGCTTGTCCAAACACCATGTTTATGCATGCCATTAAACTCTCACCCTGTGATAGGAATATACCTTTATTGGTCAACAGCATTAGTCTTAATATTCGTAGCACTCAGGTGTGGTGATTTGCTCCCTTGATTGTCCGGCGTAAACAACTCGTCCCTCCTAATGTTTACAGACACCTTGTTGTCAACATGCATACACCGGGATACTGAAAAATTGAATACTGTAACGTCCAACGTGAACGTTGAATAACGCGTAGTATTTGCGATCCGACTTGTTTTGATTTCGGGATCTTCGGCTACGCGTCATTCAACGTTCACGGTGGAAGTAACAGTCGCGCTGATACGCGATAATTGGGGTAAAGGTGCAGTGATAATGGCGAAGATAATTGAGGCGAAGGTCGCGCTGATACGCGATAATTGGGGTAAAGGTGCAGTGATAATGGCGAAGATAAGAAGGAAGATAATTGCGCTCGGAGTAGTCTACTTTCGTTGGTTGATAGATGGCTGAGTATAACACAACGCATCAAGAATCCTTCTACACTCCCGCCAAATTTCGGACATAATTTTCATTTTCGGGATCTTGAGGTACTCTGGTTCACCCTAACCTGCTCCATCTACTATGGAGGAGAGTAGGACTTACAATGGTACGCCTAAGCTTCTCCACTTCAGTCTGTTGAACTCACGGTGGTTCTTCCTGAGGCTGCAAGTCAGAAAACCCACCGACCACTTGCGGGGATTCAACAGCCGGGACTGACTCCTTGCCCTATTCGCTGCCTTCGATGAGACAGATCTTTCTAACGTCGTGCTCAAACACACTCCCTTTTATTCTAACCGACACTGTCCTTACTAGGCCGTGCTCGGAGGTCTTACAACTCTCAACCACTGCCAAAGGCCAACTGTCCTGACAGAGTGAATCCGAAGTAACTAAATCCATGTCACAATGCTTGACGTTGCGTTGTAATTTCGGCCACCTTTGTCTCAGATGCATTAATGTGAGATACTCCTTGCTCCACCGTTTCCAAATTAGTGTGGCCAGGTAGTTAGTTTGCCCACAACACTGTGTAGACCCGTTACAAAGCCTCGCCGGCGCTATTCCCTCTGTATTCGGTCTGAGTATCAGCAGATCATTATTCGTGAGAACTGGTTGATCAAGCGCGTCTGTTGTCAGCAGGTTAAGAGGCCTACTGTTAATGATGAGTTCTGCTTCGGCGAGGAACAGAGAGGGGCTCTTCCGATACTGCAACAACGTGGGCTATCCTGCGTTTATTTTCCACACTACCTGGTGTAGGGAAAGATTTTATAGATGCAGGCCACTGGAGTTCGCAACCCCACAGGAATTCAGGTCCAGCCAACCAGTACTTCAGCCGAAGGCATGAAAAAACGTCTCGCGACAACAGGTCGGCTGTATTGTCTTCCGACTTTACGTGCCCCCATTGATTTGGTGATGACACTTCATGGATAGCCGACAGGCGATTCGCGATAAACGTGCTGAATCTAGTGGACAGTTTATTTTTGTAAAACAGTACAACTTGGCTCCCTGACCGGGAATTTCTCCAAGGAAGACCAATCTCAATATAACCCTTTACCAAATGCATCGAATTCTGCGCAATAGGCAAGGGGGCGTTATTTTCCACTGAAAGTGCATGATCGCCTGTATCTACACGAGCAAAGTCTTTGTTATACAATCTCCATAACGGTTATTCAACTGTCGGCCTACTAATTTGGCAATCATGTACGGAATCAATGGCAGTTCTACCTTCCCCAACTGGGTCTAGCAACGTCCAACCGAGTAAGGTTTTCACAGCAAAAGGATTATTTCCATCTCCCGGACGTTGCTCTAAGTGCCAGTGTGCCCCTGGTACGTTAGCACCTAAGAGTATTCGGATCCGACTATCTCGGATTTCCTCAAATTGGATATCCGCCATGTGTGGCCACTGGCGTGACAACTCCCCCTTCGGGGTTATAACGGATTCCAGGGGCAGTCTTGGCAAGCAGTAGGCATGCCTAACAGAAATTGAACCAGTGTCATCTAGGGATGACAAAATGAAATCTACGCAATCCGCTTCGATCGAGGATGTGCCCGACATCGTCGTGAATTCCAAACGAGTTGGTGTGACCCCGATGCCGGCTTCTTCCATAAGTCCTTCTTCTACCAAAGTTACATTCGAACCTGTATCTAATAAGGCATATGTTTCCAATAATCCTCTTTGGCTTTCTATACGCACTGGTAGCACTCCCAAACACACCTGCTGCTGTGCAGAGAAGGTAGCAGTGCAAGTGTTTGCTACGGTCGGTGAAGTCACTTGTCTGGACGCTAAGTAAAGTAGTGGATGATGACGCCCTCTGCAGTCAGACACATCGCATTCGTTAAATTTTTGACAAGTGTCTGATCTGAGCCCTGGTTCTAGACACCCGAAACACACACCTCTGGATTTCATGAGCATCCACCTGCTAGGAACGTCCAAAGACAGAAAACTACGGCACGAGGCCGTGGCATGTTCACTACCACAAGTCAAACACGTTGTTTTAGGAGAGGCACCTGACCAGGTGTAGGGGACGTGGCTACTGTCGTTTCGTCTGTTCTCTACTCACGGTGGTCTGGTATCTAAATGCTGTCGAGACGCATTTGAGGAAGCGATTTGGCCGAATCTACTTCACGCAACTCGAGATTCCGCGGCAACGAAATCAGCCAAGTCCTTGAAATCGACCTCCCGCCCATCATGCGTGATCGATTCTGGTACCCTTGACCACCGGGCCTGAAGGCTGCTGGGTAAAACACGCACTACTCGTTCAATCGTTGCAATGGAATTCAAGTCCTCAGTAAAATTCATCTGCGACAGAGCGATGTAGCAATTTTCCATTTTCAGGGACAATTTAGACAATTCTTCTGGATTGGCAGAGAGTGGCCTCAAGCCAGTCATGAGACCATCAATTAACGATCTGGCTACAACATGGCTTTCTCCAAAGAGTTCACGAAGAACCTTTCTAGCTCTATCGTAGGCCACAGAGGGAGGCAACATCACACACTCACTGATGGCCTCCTTGGCATAGCCACGACAATAATGAATCAAATAAAGCAGTCGCTGGCCACTGTCAAACACGCGGCTTTCGACGTAGTATTCGAACTGCTTTACAAATTTCCAATACTTAGCAGGATTACCATCGAAATATTCTAGTTCAACCTTTGGCAGATCTAGCTGTAGGCACTGCTGTGACGCTAAACTTCCCCGATTGGCTCTGTGCTCGTACGCCTCGGCTGCAGACAACTGATACTGATCAACAAAAGCGCCTATACGCCGATTACTCTCACTACAACTAGGGGCCGATATCACTTTAAGATTAGAGTGGACATTGCCTTCTTCCAATTCTACTCGAAGCTTGGCCATTTCTAATTCAAGGTCTACTAAACGCTTCTGCTTATCCAAATCTGACTGTCTTTTCGTTAACTCTGCTATAGTCATTACAGCGGACGAACGACGGGAAATAATGCTATGCTCAACCTTATGGCTTAACTGTGAACCAGAGCATGAAGCACCATCATGATATTCATCAAGTACTTGCCGGTATGCTGAATCTTCCATGGCATTTTCAGAAGTAAAATTCCTTGCAGACTTTGTCCGATGTGATTGAGTAAGTTCCAATTCACTTCAAGACCTAAATAACTGTCAAATTCCGGGAATCCAGTTGAAATCCAACAAAATGCTGTTGAGTACGGCACTCGAAACTTCAAACTTCACTCCAAACGAGGAAGCAGCATTGAGTACTGTAAGCGACAATTCGCTTTGAAGGGCCTTGAGCCAACGCGTATCCAGCCAGTCAAAGAACAAGAACACTGGACAAGATGACGGTACTGTTAACAAACAATCAGGAAGCAAATATAATACAAACCTCAATAGTTGCGCTTCCACTCAACGCAGTTTCAAAGAAATACAACTCGGTCCGAGACCAACAAGAAAGGGTTCAGATCGTCAATGCGATACAGAATACAGAACACTGGTTATATAGGACAAGTGAAGTCCATGCGATTGGTCAAACACAGACCGGAGGAAGGCCGGATGCGTGAAATGAGAGTGTGGGGGGATGATAAGTACATTGCTCATAGTCAGTGCGAGAAATCATGTAAACACCTGTAGCGAGGGCACGTGCGGAGATAATTGAGGTAAACGTCGTGTTGATAATGCGAAGATAATTGA